TAGTACTGTCCGATTGTGATGCACTAAAATATTTTCTTTATGATCGAATGGAGTTTCATTATATTTATCACCTGTACTAATGCTTTAGGTATGGACAATAATTTATATCTTGTCTACTTCGATCTAAGTAGTTTGCAGTCTGCATAGGTGTCAGTTAAACATGCCTGATCAAATGATCTGAACATGAAAGCCACAAACTTTATCAAGTATGACAACGCAATATTTTCTGATACGACTGACTCAAGAATTATCCCAAATTATTTCCATAAACCCTTGCCATCTCGGTCATATGTTATGAGGCAGTATTATATATAATATATAATCCATTATAGCAACTCTATTGGATAACCAAATGAAATTCTTTCACAACCCAGAGAAATCGCATTGAATAAGGTTTCATAATATTAATCTGTTTCACATCTATCTCACTGATTTACTTATTGTTTGCTTTTAGACTCCAGAAAAGATGCGTGACTCTAAGGTTCAGTTCATGCAACTTCCCCCAAATAGCCTGGATCTCAACGTGATTGAAAATCTGTTTTCTGTTTTGAAGAGAGAGGTCAATGTGTTACCTACACATTGGAGGCAAAAATGCGATACTTAATGGGGCACAAAATAGAAAATGATTTAATAACAACGTTGGTGGATTTTATGCCGAAGAGACTCGAAGTCCTATAGAATAAAGACAGGCCAATTGACTATTAGTGTACGCAAGCTTTATATTTTGCTTATTATCAATGTTAATTTGCTGTTACTAAAAACTGCTCAATTCTCTTTTGCTAACTCTTAATTCATCATGGTCTAGGTCAATCACTACTGACGAAATGGGAGTATCCGCCACATTCCGAACCATTCCATCTGCTGAGTATCAACGAATCATAAAAGTCACGTCTATAAAGACTCATCAAGACTTGTTTCATATTATTTGGGAAAAAAATCTACTTCGGTATGAATGCTGTTGCCTATACGAACAGACAAGTGTTTCACAGGGACCCGTTGCTTCATTAACGATTAAACCAGTACATTTATATTACGGCGGTCACTCTTTTTACTGGATTCACTTAGCTACTGTAAAGTTCAGCCCGAACCGATATGTGAGTCTGTGATGAGTACATGAATGTGCATACGGACTGGAGACATTCACTTACCATTCACGGATGCGTCCCTGTCGACCCCTTCTAATCGTTTCTTGTGCTTCTTCTGAGATTTGGTCCCGTTTGCCACCGAATCGTCCACGGTTGCTGGAACGTGAACGAGAAGGAATGCATGGACAGGAGGCAGATCGAGCTAAGAGCACAGTCAAAGTGAGAGTTTGATCAGAACACAGTCAACTACATTTGGCTCTGACCAATGCGAGATTACGAATGTTTGTGATAAAAGCACACCAAATGAAAGTGATCCCTTACCGTTCAGGGATGTGTCACCATCGATCCCGTCCATGTGTTTCTTTTTCTTCTTCTGGGGTTTCGGTTCGTTTACATTCGAATCATCCAAAATGGCTAGAACATGAAAGAGAGAGAGCCAAGGAGTAGAGCAGTTCGATCAACCACTCAACACATGTAGATGCTGATTGTCTGGCTAAAGCACAGCCGTCTTCATACTACGTGAACTGGTTTTCAAAAATCCCAATTTGCCGAAATGTCATGCGAACACCTGCGCACGGAACCTGGAAGCTTTTGTGTTTTGGTGTACTGTTACAAGACTGGGTTGGTCCAGCAACTAACCTCACCCTGACTGGGAAATTAATAGAGGAAGTAGATATCTATCTAGGCAGCTATAACTCATCTGGCGGACGCATCATAGATGAAGTATTGGCAGGCATACAGAAGGTTCGGTTGGCATTTGCCAACTTCCGACAGCTGTATTACCGCCGGATGTCCGTGAAGGGTCGAGTGTATACTGCAAGATAGTTTGCATTTTCGAGTAGACGACATCCATCTACTAGAGGTTCTCGATAATTAATGTCTACGTGGGTGGGATACAAAGAGCGTGTCGTGTCATTGAGAATGTTTCAAACCGCATTCCATAGTGATTTGCGCTGCTTAGGATACGTATCGCACATACTTAGCTGTCGTCTATCGCCTCGCGTCTTGTTTTCAGTTGCTGTTTACGGTTGGAGGAGACGAGACAGAAAGAAATGCATAGGCTGAGATCCACATGACTCAGTCGGTTAGAGGCACAAAAGGACATGGCAATGAACCGGCAGTGGTGGCGTTCTTGTTTCTTTATATTTATATTGAGCAGTTGTTTGCGCACAGTTACATTAAAATCTACGTGCTGACTAAAAAGGTGCACTTTGTTTCGTCTCTTCCACAACATACACTCACTTACTGTCCACCTCACACATTCATCCTTACTTTGTGTACATTGAGAGCTTGGAAGTGATCCGTTGGGTTTGCCTCAGTGTATTTTTCTGGACAATGACGAGCATTTTAACCGCATCGATCGCTGATGCGATGAGGCACCGGCACGGACTTTTCCAACTACGGGTTAATTCTGGAAGAAGCATCTATCAATTAGGCAGTAAAACCACGTTCAATCGATAGAAAAGCTTCCCACGGACCCCTAAACATTCTCCATGGCCCGGTGAGTGAACCGGCAGCAATCGCAGACAAGATTGGATTTATCGCACCGGGAAAATGCTAACGGTTATAAAGCAATATTGCAAAAGAAAAACGTAAGGAAAAACGGTCGAACATTAAAAAAGCGTAGAAATATTATATTTACCTTTTATCCTCTATAAATGTACCGAACTAACCCAAGCAGCTAGTTAGCCAAAACTGAGAGATGGCAGTACTAGCGATGTTCGACTACATTTGTGTGCTGCCAGTGAAAGTTGACGGTACAACCTTGACTACCGAACGTTCAATCCGTATAAGCAGCATTACCTACTAACTATTAGCTAGTAGCATAATTCACTTGTAATAGTTTTCTCAGCCGGTCAGTAGTTGTCTCACCACACCGACGACGGTCCGCACAGTTCTCTTACTTTCAACTCCACAAGCCGAAAAAGAACTGCCGAACGGTTGTACAACTGTCTATAGATATGCACCTAGTAGTGTGCTTCTTTCCGCTTTGCCCGTTGGGAATCCGGCCCCGACGGGCTGTCCCCATCGGTTTTTAAGGATGAAGGTTCAGCCCTGGCTTTGGAGTTAACCGAACTTCTGGACCCGGTGTGGGAGAGGAAAGAGGTTCCAGATGAATGGCGTGAATCCTTGACCATATCGATTTACAAGAAAGGTAAGATATCCTCTTGTGAAAACCACAGAGGAGTTGGCATAATCAACACCGTCTGTAAATTTCTCGATGATGTTATACTCCGCCGATTGTCTGCCGCACGTGAACGGTGAACGCATGAGAGTCAGGCTGGTTTGTCAAACTCTAGAACACATACACTCCTTTCGTAGACCCGCCATTTCTATCTTCCTCGACCCAAAAGCGGTTTTCAACTCAGTCGACCGCTCGAAACTCTGGCGCTGCCTCGCTCTAAAGGTTTGCCGAGAAGTTTATTTCAATATTACAATCGCTTTATACTCACAGCCGAAGCCGAGTCCGAGCTTACAGCACGTTTTCACCCGAGTTCACCACGGAAAGTGGTGTTCGACAGGGTTGCCCTCTCTCTCTCCTTTTCCATTTAATTTCTTGATGGATTTAATTCTTGAAACAGTCCTATCCTCGTGCGAGGAAACCGGTAACGATTTACTCCCAGGTGGCGGACTGTTTGATCTACAGTATGCAGACGAACATTGTGCTGCTAAGCGAAGATCCAGGTAAGTTACAAGCTTTTCTGGATAGTTTGGGTGCCAGCGTAGAGGTATGCGTTTTGCACCGCCAAAGTGTAAAATGTTGCTGCAAGATTGGATTGGTCCATCACCCAATCTCACCCTAACCAGGGAAGCAGTAGAGGAAGTGGACAAGTTTGTTCTGACGGACGTGTCACAGATGAAGTGTCGGCACGCATACAAAAGGCTCGGTTGGCATTTGCCAGCTTGAGATATCTGTGGCGCCGTCGCGACATTCGGCTGTCTGTGAAGGGTCGAGTATATGCTGCAGCAGTTCGGCCAAAAATATATTGCCGGTGTTCGAACACCGCTGTCTGTCTCATTGCACGAGTCTTGTGGGGTAACCTGACTAACAATGCTGAGGTTAGGCGTAGGGTTTTAGGCACTCGCGGTCGTCCACTAGAGCAAGTGATCGACTTCCATTACGTTGGTTGGAT